AAAGTAGCTGGCCCCTGTGTGTGGGTCATGGGCTCTATGCCCAGCAACTGCCAGGGGGCAAAGCTTGGACCACACCCAGAGCAGTGTGGGCAGAGCCCATAAAAGGGTCTCTTCTGTGTTGGGATCTTGCCCCCCCTTTCCTGTGTCTCTTCTGCAAGGATCCAGCTGCAGACTCTGCTGGGAGGCCATTTGCTAGAGCCTCAAGAGAGTGCGGCAGAGTGGGCGGGGGGAGCCCGCAGCGCAGAGGCAGGGAGGCCTGCTTGTTTGTGCCAGCTAACTGTTACCACTCTCCTCCCCAGACTATGAAATCCCTGGAGAATTTTTGGTGACATGCACTGAGCCAAGGTGATGAACTGTATGTTTAAGGAAAGACACACAAAGAAAAAAAATTAAAATGGAATTGGAGGCCGAACGCCGCACAGCTGCCCTCTCTCACCCAGTAATGCAGAAAGCTCTTAGGACAGACAGAAACCTGCCACGGGGCTGCTTCCCTCCCTTCCTCCCTGGGCCAGCAGAGGCTCCATCAGCTCTCTCCTAGGATACGGAAACCATGGCAACGAAAATAGAATGTAAAACTTGGAGAAAACGTCTGTGGGAGGGCCCAAGGGAGGGGGTGCCTGACTGCCCTTCTTCCCCCTCCCAGGAACCCTCTGCGGTCACCCTCAGAAGGGAGTCAGGGGTGATGGCCAAGGACAGAGAGGAGGAAAGAACTCTCTATAGAATGTAATTTATAGATACATCTATATGTATATATATCTATTTATATGTAAATAGGCATATATAAAGATATATATATATAGTCTACTATTTAAACTATGCAGGGGTTTGGTTAAGTTGTTTAGCTGAATTTCTTCGTGTTTAGAAAACAAGGCCTATTTGGGGAAGACACCTGGGTCCTTCAAAAGCTAGACATTAGCCATAACTGACAGTGTAAGGAAAGCCTCCTCATATGCTTTTGAAGTTCCCCCAACCCCAGCCTGGTTTGGATGACAGCAGTAATCATGATAGTGTAAAACCATAGACAATTTCTGCAGGTTGCCAGGTTCGTGGTGAAGCTGGAAAGGAGCAGACCATGGGGGGTGGGGATGCCCCTCAGGGCCACTCCAGGTCAGTATTGGGTCATGGTAGAGGCCCCGTACAGGGCCTGCCAAGGAGAGACCACCCCCTCAAGCTGCCCCTCCCTTTTGGCCAGCTCAGGTGGGCTCTTTGTCCTGGTGCCCAGGAGCCCTTCTGTGCCCTGCCCACACACACAGCAGGGGTTGAGGGGGCCGGGCCGGCTTTTGCCTGCCCACTGTCCCACCCTACAGTCCCAGAGAGGGCTTTGCCTTATAGGTGCCGCAGGGCACAGCTCCACCTTGCCACTGGTTTCTCCTAAGTCATGCACCAAGGACTCCAGAAAGCTCTTCCACCAGGAATCAGCAGGTGGTGCCCAGGACCCCGGGGTGGCAGCCCAGCTCCTGAAGAGAAGCAGTGATGGAGGGTGCCTCTGTCTCCACCTCCAAGGATGCGACTCCCCCAGGCCTGTTCGTGCACGCTGGACAAAGGACACAACTGGACCGGGACGATTTTTGTACCCTCACCTTCAGATGAGGATTTTTCTCAAAACAGCAACTGCTGCCAGGGGCAGGAGGGAGGTTTTATTTATTCCCACAGTTCAGACCGATCCATTTGGAATTTGTGTTTTCCCGCCTTTTCCTGTGGTGGCGGGCATGTCGTCGAGCCTGCTGTCTTCCAAAGCCTTACTTCCCCACGCTGCCAGTCAGGAGATGACAACTACCCTCCAAATTTTCTCTTGGCTCTTTTTTTTTTTTTCCGAAGTTCCCCAACAAATAGGATTCTTGCTGGGAAAGGAAGTTTGGTAAAGAAATGTCAAATCTGGTTTTTAAACAAGGTCCACCCTGAAGTGAAGCGGCCCCGGCCCAGAGAGATCATAAGAACTGGACGTGGGCCAGAGTACCCCACCACGGTGGCCCTGGTGCTCTGCCCCCACCACCTGACTGGTCTTGGTAGACGTCCCTAGACGGGCTGAGCCACGTGCAATAAGAACATAGATCCTAACGGATCCCCTGAAAAGTTGTATTTCTTGAATTCGAATTCTGAAATTGTACATCTATAAATATATGTTTATTATGTGATTGGCCATGGTGGGTCTGCATTGAGCAGGGGGTCTGGGGTGGCGGGGCACAAGCACCTGTTCCTGACACTGTCCGGTCTGTGCCAGGGGAGCTCCTGGTGGCCTGCCTGAATGTCCCCCTCACTCCTGGCCACATCTGACAGCCAAGTCACTTCATGCAAGTGCTAGTCCAGGGGCTGAGCCACTCAGGCAAAAGGGAAGGGGCTTGGGTGGCTCTGGAGCTGCAGGACCTGAAAAGGCCAGACACTGGGGTCCCCAGTGCCACTGGTTTTTCCTATACTGTGCCCCGGGGCCACCCCAGTCACCCCAGGCTTTCCTGGTCCACCCCCCCACCACTGTCTGATTGGGTCAGGCTACCTGTGCCAGAGCAACTTCTGCCTGTCCCCTGCCCAGCCCCGAGCAGAGCCACTCCACTTTGAGAACATGGTAAAAGTTCCCCAAGTTCCTTTCACTCTCTGGCTACATAGCCTTCCCTAC